ACTATGATGAACTTGTTAATAATCATGCTAATCAAGATGAAACGAATGAAGATGATAAGAAGGAGATTGAGCATCTAACTAAAGAACTAAATACTCTTAAGTTAGCTCATGAAACAACTCTAGAGGATCATAGAGAGCTCCTAAGGACTCATGAGAAGCTATGCTTCGAGAAGCTAAATTTAGAGCAAGTGCATGGGTCCCTAAAAGCTATCAATAATGATCTTCGAAAGAACAGTTCTTCTTACATTGCCAAGCGCTTACTCTTGTCTACTTATATGCCACAAGTAAAATCTAGCAACAAGAACAAGAAAGATTCTTTCTCTAGTAGTAACAATAATCAGGTTAAATCCAATTTTGTTGCTTCTAGTAGTTCTCTTGATTCCACTAATGATTCTCTTAGCCAAGTTACACTTGACCAAGAAAATAGCTTATTGAAGGGAGTTATAGATAAAGATGTTTATAAGAGCCTTGCCGGAAGTAAGCAATTTGAGGAAATTGTACGCAAGGAAGGAAGGCACAGGAAGAATTAAGGTGTGGGTTTTGAACGAAAGTTCAATGCCAATGGAGTTGAAGACGAAGTTTGTTCCTCAACAAGAGAAGTATGATCCCACCTCTTTTGAGGGAACACAAGCTCAAGATGATCTTCCACCACAAGACCACAATCTAAAAGGCAAGGACAAGCTTCAAGAGGAGATTGACTCATTTGAAGAATCTCCTAAGGCCATGGTCAAGTGGGTTGAAGTCTCCATCAACATGGACGTACGATAGCACCACCTATCGGAACCACGCGAAAAATCTCCGTGTCATCATTGCGTTTTCCTTCTCCAAACCCTTCCCTTTACCTTCATATGCAATGCTTTAGTTTCCGCTGCTACACTCTTAGAATTGCATGTGTAGGTTGATTGCTTGACTTGTGTTAGTTGCTAAAATCTGCCCACAACTAAAATTGGGAAAAGGCTAGATTTTTATTTGTCAAGTAGTCTAATCACCCCCCCCTTTAGACCTACTTTCGATCCTACGGGGGGGGGGGTCGTCGACCCAACCCAAAGGATGGGCAACCAACATGCCAAGCACCCCCTAATCTAGGACTCCATCACCCAAGTTTATCCACAAGTTTCTATGATTCACTAAACTACTAGAAATTATCCCGGGTTTTATACATTTTCAAGCCATCCTTCAACATCAATTGTAGGGGTCGACATCCACCAGTTAAATCAACACACCTATATACACTTTGTAATATATAATCTCTTTGTTATTAGTCATTGATCATCAAAACCCACAAGGGGACTCTAGATGCACTTTCAGGAACATAAGAACTGCAAGCTAAATAGCAAATCAACACACGTAGGACACCTAGACAAAAAAAGATTACTGGAGCCACCACCGTCGAGAAATATAAGTCACTTGTCAAAGCAATCCAAAAGACATGGCATCAAATCATAACAATGTAAATTAATAATATAATATACGAAAAAATACAAAATATTTTTTTGGGACATTAGCATTAGTAGTGCATAGCTAAATAAGCACGTGTTGAAATTAAGCATATGCATGAGGCGCGCGCGGGGTGGGGTGATTTATGTCGCCCAAAGGTTCCATCGGTCTGGTCGATCGGCATGTATCGTTGATGTGCTTGCCTCACAAGACCTTCCCTGGCCTCTGCGAGTCGCGCATTCCATCTTCTTCTCTTCTCTACTCTATTGCTCCACATCTCCTTTCTATCCAAAGTCTCCTCCCCTTTTCAAGGCATGGATCTCTTGTCTTCATCTTCTTCTTCACTGATTTCACCTCAAGCTTATGGATTTTTGTCCTTCCCTCCATCAATTTCATCTCCCCTTGCTCTTTCCCATGGATTTCATCCATCCAGATCATGTGACATCCTGTCTCTTGGATCATGGCGGCGCACATCATAAACCTACTTTTGATTGATGTGCCATCAAGCTCGAGATGACACCAAGGCTATGGAAAATAGGTTCGGTTTGCTAGTTCAGTTGTCGGTGGGGCCCTGGTGAGCACAGAGCGGTGAGATTTGTGCGTTTGGGTTTGCCAGATCTGGTGTAAGTGGGGCTCTCGCGAGTAAAAGGTTAGACTTTTGAGCTTTGAATTGTGTAGAGGTTTTGTTTGAGTGAATGTGGTTTCGTTGCTTATGTAGAGTTTATTTTTTGCATGGAAAACTCGAAAGTTTACATATTTCTTACTGTTTTTGACGGGCTACATAGAAATTCGGTTGCATACACATGCAATTTTTTCGACCCTTACACTTAGTTTTTTTTCTTCTGTTGTAGAGATTATTTACTAGGTAGAATGTATGAAGAATGAACATTCATTATAATTTATAAGGTTGTACTCAAAATATACAGATGTTGAATTATTTTTATTTTTTATCCAAAATTGGGCCTAAGTTCATTAGGGTTTTTCGTATAATCCTAAGGTATTATAGGAAAATTGAATAGTTGATGTTGGAAAAAGAATGAATTTGTTGTTAACCATTTGTTGGACAATGCAATGGAAAACATGATTGATTTCATCATCTACTACTTATTCATAAGTATAAATGGTATCAAAAGATATGATTTCTTTGGACCTTTTAATGATTATTTAAATCACATTTTAAAATCATAGTAGAAGTTAGCATAACTTAATTAGTGTTCATATATATGGAAATCTTGAAGAGTGTAATGCATACATGACACAACATTAATATCATACTATATGTGCATTTTGCATTTAAGGTTTTCCATATATGTGAATGTTAATTAAGCCCTACTAATTTATACCACCATTTTCTAGTGAGATTTTGATAACTATTAATGATATGCCATATATGCATTACTCACTCTAATATTCTCCATATATATAAACATTGATTATGCCCTGTTAGTTTACACTACCATTTTAAGGCGAGATTTAAATAACCATCAGTACAAAAGTCCAAAGCAATCCTATCTTTACATATCACCTAATTTTGAATAAATCTAGCACATTAACTAAAATTAACATGGAGCATTGGCGAAGAGTACAATATCGTATACTCGAGAGTATTCGATGTACCCTCTTTAATAGGAGTAAGGTTTTGCATATGTACTACATGAACATAAAATTAAGTGAGGATCATTTATATTCCCGTTCTAAAATGCGATTTAGATATCACCGAAGAAATCCAAGGGAATCCTATTTTTAGAAAGCAATTTCCTTCGGAATAATTGGTATGTATTGAATCCTGTATTTTTCTTCTTCTCGGTCTCCACTATCAAAACTTTCTAATAATATATTGGGGGCTACACCACAAAGTAAAATAACTTACAGCCTTTTCCGAACAAATAAACTTAACAACAGCACCCATTCTCCACAAATCTCGAATGCAACCCTTAGGCTTTCAACTATTCTTGCTACAACCTTACTGCGTTGTCCCTAGAAAAATCAACGAAGCAAAACAGATTTGAAATGGAGAATGTAGTAGCAACAAGAAACGGTGAATGAAAAGAAAAGAATATGCAGAAGTCGGTGGGCCAAATAACGAACAGCACGTTAGAAAAAATCCGCAGGGCCTTCTTCTCGAAGCGAAGCGATCCTCGTTCGCAGAGCCAGAGGGCAGGGACGGCAGCGTAAATACACGACGACACCACCTAATCGAGATTTATTGCACTGCTCTCGTCTCCTCTCCTCTCCGCTCACGCACCGTGTATTTAAGTCGCCTCCACCCGCTCCGCCCCCCTTTTTTATATTGCATCTCGGAATTCTTTGGGTCCTCGGGCTCGCCGCGATCCCATTCTCGCCGGCCCCCGCTGCCCGCGCCGATTCTCCCGGGTTTTCTGGTCCAGCCGGGCAGGGAGGACTCGCCAAGAGAATTGCGGTGCTTCGCCCAGCAACACAGGGAGGAGGAAAAGGTCAGTCCTCTCCTCAGTTCCTTCGATCCTTCCTTCTCCACTCCCTCACTTGGCTCTCGTCTGTCTCTTGTTCTCTTCTTCTCTTGTTCTTCACACCCCATGGCATGGTAGTGCTCTGCTCCGTCGTCCATGGCCGGTTCTGCATGTGAGCGTCTCGTCCATGGCCGGCGGCTCTGCATCTTCCCCACCCGTCTTTTCTCTTGACGAATTTTGATCTGGATTGGTAGGAGGGATACGACATAGTGCCGCCATCGGGAGTAGGCCGACAGAGCCGCCGGCCGGCGTATCATCGAGGAGAAGGGGGGCCAAGGTACCGATCTTCCCCGGCTCCCCTTCCTCTCGTCCGCTACTATTCATCGCCCTGCAATACATACATGTGGTTCCGTTCTCGCCCGCTGCATGTAGTTACTGCGGTGGGGGCCGGCCAGTGCTGTCCTGCGTATTTACCACTAATCCACTCTCCTTCGACACCGCCCGACGACGCATCAGAGCTTTCATGCCGTCGCTCTTGTCTCTGTTCCGCCGCCGTCCGGCCGCGTCTCGGCTTCGTTTCGTGAGAGGGAGGCAAACGTCGGGGGATTGTTCTCGACTTGTGATCCAGGCTTCTGGCCTCCCTCCCTTTGCTTCCTCTGCTCCAATGCTACTTTGTTCTTTTCTCTTTCCCGTCCGTCTCTGCCCCGCCGTGTCAAGAAAATCTCCAGATCCTTTTTAAGCATGGTGTTTTCAGAGGTTCAACTGAACCCATCTTCTTTTTTTCTGTCCCTCCTCTTTTGGCCGTAGCAGTACTAGCTTGTGCGGAGGGTGCAAAGTAAAGTGCCTGGTTTTTATCAGGACAACACTCTTCCACACCAACGAAATCCACAAAGCGCGGCGTCTGTCTGCGGATAAATGGATACTGCCATTAGCATTAGCGTCGGTGGTTAGGAGCTCTTTTGTTTTCTCCGATCTGCTCCAAAGGCAGCAGGCATGGGCTCTTTTTTTCCTGGATGGATGGAGCATTGACTTGTGGATCTTACTTTTGTTTTTCTAATGGCAGGAAGTAATCAGCTCTGTTCCCGAAGGCATCTCCTCACGCATGGCTAGGCCTTGACGAGATACACCCTGCAGATCATGAAGATAGGTAATAAGCGAGGGAGGCTCCCTCTTCCTCTTCCATCAATCTTCTTGTACGGTTAATTTCGTTATCCGCGACGATGTACGTACGGCACTCGCTTATCTGCAAGAAATAAGCTGTACTCCCTCCGTCCGGAAATACTTGTCATCAAAATGAATAAAAGGCGGTGTATCTAGACTTATTTTAGTTCTAGATACATCCCTTTTTATTCATTTTGATGACAAGTATTTTCGGACGGAGGGAGTACATTCTAGTATGTTTTTTTTTGTCACTACATTGTAGTAGTATGCTTTGAACTGCAGTCTTGTGTGTTCAGCGGTTCTCGTTGAACACTGCATATGTTGGCAGGGAAGTGAAGATCACACCCATTTTTACCAGGCTTTTTTTGAGCTTGAAATCATTTTTTTTCTTCTTAACCGGATAAAGCTGAGATTAATTGTTTTAGCTATAGATTGATAGCATATACTGATTACGTTACATTATTGATACACTGATTGATATTTGAATTGCATATACTGACTGATAGCTTGTGCGCATCATTACCATAGATCTCACTTTGTTACTCCATAAATACAAGTAAACGAAAACATCTGGTCAGTAGTCACTCGATGACTTAGAATGTAATAATATCTCTTATCATTTTTCATACTGTAGTCCATAGAGAAGGTTTCATCTTGTATCCATTTTTGTAGAGTAAACCTTCGAGGAACTAGGTCCTTTTCATCCAAGGAGAATAAAAACACCCAAATCCTAGTTGAAGAGGACCTGAACCAAGGGCTAAATTCCTCATTATGTATCAGTTCCTATCAGCCTTTTGTCTTTTGTTTGTGACCAAAAGGCAGTCATTTATTCCTTGGTTGGAAGATGTCAAGTGTCAATTCTCATTTTAAAATTAATATTTTCGTTAGTGTTTTTTGTCTTATTCTTTCAACACTACCAGCAGCCTCGCTTAACTTAGAAAACTGCATTGTCTCTGTCACAGAGACATTGTGAATGAAAACTTAAATGTCTTCTGATGGTTAAAGTGACAGTACAGCTAAATGATAGGGAACCAACGGCAGAACTTACGACTTAGCGTAGGTTCTCTTTTGTTCATTCCATCATGATAGTGTCTCTTGTCCGTTTGAACCTTTTATGGTCTTAGTAATTGCTTGACTGTTCAAATCAGAAACCATCAGTGTTAATTGTGGTACAGATTGTTGACTTGTGTTCGTTTTTGTTCACACTTCACACTCTTAATGGTTGATGATTTGGGTGTCCTCGTGCAGATAATGAAAGGCCTTACCATACCAATTCTTTTCATGAGCTTGTACCCAGTGGCGGCCCTAAAGTAGACGGTGAACCTGAAAGGGAAACTAAGGACAATCTTTTGGAAGATAAAATGGTTGAACAGACCAATCCATCAGAGCATGGTTTTGTGAAAGCTGAGCATGAGAAGGGAGGTAAAACCAGACAAATACGGATTGAGGATGTTTCTTATGACAAGGATGTTGTTGAGATCAACCTGCCAAGTTCTGTGGTTTCTTCTGATTATGGCGGCCATTTTGTCAAGGATGTCTGCATTGACGAGGGAGTGCTTGCTGATCAGAAGGCTTCGGCAGAGAAGGTAGTAAGTGAAAAGGTATGCCCAATCTTTGATTCTTCAATGGCCGATGCAAATGGTGATCTGAAGGAAGACGTAAGACTTGATCCTGTGAAAACTGCAAATAAGTCACAGATAGTTCCCCTTCATGTCGTGCATGCTACCGATGGTAATACTATGGAAGAAACAAGAGCTGATCCTTCGAAAACTGAACATGAATCAGAGTTACAAATTGTTACCCTACATGTTCCATGTTCTACTGATGGTAATAAGATGGAACAATATTCTTGTGGCGAAGCACGTGATGTTGAAAGCAACAAGACTATAGATGAATTTACCAATGTAAACGATGAGAAATCAAGTCCTAGACAGTTATCAAGTCATGAAGCTGCAAAACAGTGCCAGCAGGTGGGCACAGTAATTTCTGAGACCTGTGAAACTCACAAGCCACTTTGCGATGGAGAAGCAATTGATGAGGTATGATGGATTTACAGTATTACCAATCTGCTCTAATGAAATACTCCCTCCGTCCAGAATTACTTGTCACAGAAATGGATGCATTTTTTTCGAGAAAACGCAAAAGAGTTGCGTTTCATTGCATTGAACAGGATTAAAAATACGTCTAGATACATCCATTTCTACGACAAGTAATTAGGGACGGAGAGATAAATGATTGCCGTAAATGTACCGCAATTATTTGGTTACTGACCATACCTTTATTATCATAGATATGTTTTTTGTTTCAATGATATGTTCCAAGAAACGAGTCTTGCCACCTGTTGTTTCTATCCGAATCAATAAATGAGATTGAATGTTTTATTAATATTTATTTTTTGCTATTATTTCATTTATCTCCATATTCTGCCTCTCAGTATGATTATTTTCATTACAGGTTACACCAATCGTTTGCCATGAAACTGGATCGAGTACTGCACCAGAGTCCAGTTACCTCAGTGGTTTACCAGTTGAATCAACTTCTGATGGGCTCTCAGCTGTAATTCCTGAAGAAGATGTTGGTGCAGAATTAGATAACAGAGGATTGAATCCAGCTACTCACTATAACCCCTTTATCGCCTATGGGTCGTTAGAGGACACATGGGAATCCAAGTATGCTCTACCTACCATTGTCGACGAGGTTTCTGTTGTACCCATCTGCCCTGTTGGAAAGACAGATAGTTTCAGTGATCTTGTCAACGGTGGTGCACTGGGAGGATTTGATTATGTTGAAACAGCTGAATCCAGAATTGGAGACAGCAGTAAGTTAGATTCTGTTGGAGGACGTTCAAGCAGGCTGGGGGTCCAAGCATCTGAAGAGAGCCATGATCAAGGAGGTCTTGTCGAAAGAACAGATAGTTTTAGTGACATCGTCAACGGCGCACCAGGTAGATTTGATTCTGTTGCAGCAGATGAAACCAGAATCAAACACAATAGACTAGATTCCATAGAAGAAAGTTCAGGTAGGTTGGATGTCCAAGCATCTGAAGAGAACAATGATCAGAGAGGTACTGTCAGCGCAGAGCCTAGTGATGTCAAGACTGAGGGCCATCCAAAAAGCGAGACCGGTGCTGTCGAAGATGAACATGACTTCAACCCAAGAGACGTGGGGGATGGCACAAAGACAAGGGAGGAAAGCAGCGGCGGCGATGAGAGCTCTACGGTTTCGCAAACGGAGTCGGCGGTTCAGCAGAATGAACCTGATGGTGCAAAGCTGACGACTCGGGGTGGCATTCGCAACCCCTTTGAGTCGAGCTTCTCTGGAGCAAACATCACGCTGGACGCGGTAGCGCCCTCTGCGCACATCGGCAACACTTCTCTTCGCTCGGATAGCAGCACGACAAGTACTCGGTCCTTCGCATTCCCAGTGTAAGTGAAGACATCTGAATAGTATGACCACTACATTCTTTTTTCTCAAGTACATAAACTCATATGTGTTCATCCACAGGCTACAGACTGAGTGGAACAGCAGTCCGGTGAGGATGGCGAAGGCGGACCGTAGGCGTTTCAGGCGAGACCGGGGCTGGGGTTTCAGGGTCCTCTGCTGTAAATTCTGAGAGCATTTTTTTCCTGTTTGATTGATGAGTCTAGCTCATGGCCGGCGGCCTCGCGCCTGAGCTAGTGTTAGCCAGCCAATGTTAAATTCATTCAAATGTTGATCGTTTCTCCCCCCTTCCTTGCTCTTCTCCCCCCATATGCCCTGCTCTTTTATTTTATTTACAAATAGCAGGTGGTTGATGGCTTGTCGGGTTCGCTAGTGGCTTGTAATTTGGAGAGATTGTGCGTGAGAAATGAACAGGTATAGCAGCTTTCTTTCATGTACCAGCCGCATTCCTGATTGTTTAGGCTGGTCATAGTGGGGAGTAACTTACTAGTAGTAACATGCATATGTTACTAGTCCATGTTGAGGACGGGGTGTCAACCCGTTGGCTGGACAGCTGGGGTAGCTGCCAGTCCACTCAAGTTAAGCCCCGGCTTTGACATGTAGTAGTGTGATGCGAGCAATGCCCATTGTGTTAGAAGGAGAAAACAGAGCAAGAGCCAAAGCTATTACAATCACCAGAACGAGGTTCAGTCTGCCATAACCCGTATGTGAAGACGCAACAAAGTATTACTAAGTTTGACACGCATATGGCACTGATATCCGCCAAACTGATTACCGGTGGATATATAGGACATTACATGTATGGTACCCCCAAGCCTGCACATCCGGCACAAAACTGCCCCTTTTTTCTCATGAACTCCTATCCAGCAGTTCTTGTAAAAAAACAAGGCTAAACCTGATGTCCATCTTGGATGCTGGATTAAGGCTAGCTGACCAACTAATGATATACCTAGCCAACCACAACCAGGGCATCATTATTCCATAGTATTTGGGCATCTAAGCTATATTTGGGTATCCTCCAAGCCTGCAAATCTAGTAGCGGTAGCAGTAGTAAAACACTGATCTAGCTAGCTAAGCTTCTTGTAACTATGTACCTAGCTGCGCTGCGGGGAAGGTCTGACAGACTCAGGGCTCATCGTCGCGTGGCTCGTCGTTGTGGATGGGCTTGCGGCGCCTCGCCCTCCACGCGTAGTCCCTCCTCAGCATGTCGTGCAACTCGTCCGCCGCGTCCACCCGGTGCCTCCTCGCCGCGGGCAACTCCACCGTCCTCGCTGGCCGTGAGCCGCCGTGGTTCGAGACGCGGACAGCCTTTCCTGCGTCATCACCAACCACATCCACATGCCGGCCTCCTCCGATGTTCAGGCCATCTTTGGCCTCCAGCGCCACCACTGCAGGGAGTGCAACGATTTAGCAAGCGGATCGATCAATCCATGGATGGATGCATCTCAAAACTAGCAAACATATATGGAGATTGGAGAGGAAACTCACCATGGCGAGCGCAGGCAAGGGGAAGGCAGAGCATGAGCAATAACGGGGCGAAGAGCAAGGCAAAAACGATGACTGCACCGCTGATCCTTGTGCAGCTCATGGTGTTCAATCTTTTCCTGCGTGTGTATGTGCTTGTGTGTCAATAGGAGTTGGAAGAGAAGGTACAGGTTTGGGGTTTGTTGAGGTTTTATAAGGAGATCAGTGAGTGGCCAGTGTTTTTAGGCTAGCTGGCTTCCTAGCTAGTATGGGGTCTAGGGATAGACATGCAGTCAAAGCTAGCTGAGGATACCTAGAGAACATCTCTTCTGACCGTACCACCGTGCTAGTTTTACTTAACGAACCCCCAGGCAGGACTTGTTTAATGCTCTGCTCCTGGTTGTGCCTGGTGTCGGCAATGCTACACGTACAAACGATTTACAAGCTTTTACAGGATGGTTAATCTTGATTGGTCAATAGGTGAGCGGGGTGGCCCACCCCCTGAAAATCAGGGGGGAGAGGTTTGTGATTGGTTGTTAGATGAAAGGAGCGTGTAAAAGCGTGTAAGTTTTTGTATGTCTAGCATTTTTGGCCTGGCGTGGTGAGTATCAACCCAAAGTATCCAAGAGCAGAGACATAATCTCACTCAGTAACTCAGTATGTGATGGTCCTTACAATGTTATACCTTTGAGATATAGTCACAGAGAACAGACTCGGCCCAGCTATCAAGTTTTTTTAAGTCGGCCCTGAAGGATCTCGGTTCATTAAAGAAAAAAGAGTTGTCTGGTAATACATGGAAAACCAGGTTAAAACCATCACCACCCACACAGGGCAACATTGGCTGTCCTGGCTACCCACGCGAAGACACGCACGCCACTGGAAAGGAAAAAGAGATAAATACACCGATGGTCACTGCACTTAGGAATATGCTCATTACAATCACTATATACGATTTGACGTGAAAATAAGGTCATTATTCGACGTACGCGATGCATAAAGGCCTGGTTTGATCACTTGTTGACCGCCACATACTCTTCTCTAATTAGGCCAATCTTGCATGTAGGTGTTTTGTGTAAAAAGTCAAAAAAAATATCCCCAATTCATCAAATCCCTAATTTGCGGCGGCCCCCTCTTCAATCCCTAGCATCCTTCCTCTCTCGCGTTGCTCCGCCACCACCTTGGTCGCCGCCGCTATGGAATCCGCCTGAACCGGGGAGATGCCATCTCGCCGTTAGTTCCTTCCCCTCTGGTGCTCATGTCTGTCGCAAGCTCCTCCGTCTCCGTTGTCCGTCGTAGGGCATTGATGTTGCCCCTCATCTACTGCCCGAGCAGCAAGGAGAAGGTGCGCATGTATGTCTTCACGACTGACAAGCACGACAGGTGGATCTTTTGCAAATGCCAGAAACATGGGGTTAGTGGTTCTCTTTGATTTTTTTTTTCATTTCCATGATTTCTCTTTGGTTTTATGGATGCAAAGATTCAAGTTTTTGACCTTGGCATGTATTTTGGGATAGGTGACTTGCGATTTCTGGCTTTGGGGATTGGAATACGTTGAGTACCTTGTTGACAAACACTATCTCGTTGGGGATGCCGTTGTGGATGATATTGGTGTTGCGGAGGAACGCAGGGAGGAACTTTTGAATGCATAGGAGCTTACCCTTATGAATGCATCCACTAGCAGGTCCAAGAAGGCTTTGAAGAATGACTGTGCAAATGTGGTGACTAGGCAGCAAGCTTGTGCAGTGATGATGCTTGGGAGAGAGCTGGTGATGCTCATGAAGATGATGGTTGTTGTTGTGGTGATGCTCATGTTTAAGAAGTGAAGATGCCATTGGTGCTGCTAGGTGCTGCTTGAGAAGTGGAGATGCTGAAGAAGTGCTCGTTGTGTAGATTCATTTTGGGATAATGCAATTGTGTTAGTTAGTAGTTATTGTGATGTACTAGTGTCAGTCCTAGTTTACTTTGGTTTAATGTGATGCAATGGTGTGTATGCTGAAGTGGCAATGCTATGTTGAACCTTTGCTATGTTTGATGAATCTACATTAGTTATATGACTCTCTGTTCTATGTTTGATCAATTGCTTGTGTCCAAAGTAGATGCAAAACAAATGATTTTTGCCAGAAATGTTAAAACCCAGATGCTATTTCCAGGATTAGCCTAGTTTACTTCATATATGTTGTTAAGCAGTATATCACATTTTGGCAAAATCACTTTGAAAAGCTTTAACCCAAGTGTTGGGTTCCAACTCATGAAGCCACTTGTAGGAATCAGCTTACCTGCATGCCCTTCTTAGATAACTCAACTGTGTTGCTCCTTGTTATCCTCCACAATTGAATCTTCAGAATATCTCCCTTGAAAGACTGCTGAAAGTTCGGCCACATGTGCCTGACAGAGAATCTGTGTTCTGACCTAGGGAACGATTCTTCAACCGGTCAACCTCATTAATGAGACCCTGTACATTGCATGCAACAAGAACATAAGCATATTTTCAGAAGGCTTTAACTATAGACATAAACATGTAATTTCTTCAACCACGGTAGGTAGGCAACATAAACGTAAGCAAGTACAACAAAAACATCGACAAGCATATGAAGATGAAGAGGCATTACCTTTTGTTTGTCCGACATGATAGTCCAGGGTTTAGTGTTTATGATGCCAAGATCCCAGTGTGTCAACAAACCACTTCCAGTTAGGGGTGCCCTCCACTTCAACCACAACAATGGCTATTGGAAATATGCAGTTATTCAGATCTATCCCAGTGACTACAAGTAGTTGACCTTTGTATCTAGTTTTTATGTTGCAACCATCAACAAAGATCACTGGCCTGCAACCCAGAAGCAACCCTCTCTTGCAAGCATCCAGATACATGCATAGCTTTTTGAACCTTGCATTCCCATCAAGTGAGAGATAGAAAGATGAGCCAGGGTTGCTTCTCCTAACCTCATTTTCATAATTCTGAAGAAGCTTTTACTACTCTTCTTCATCACCTTATACTATTTTCATTGCCATCCTTCTTGCCCCTTGTAGTTTCATCGTTCTTGTTGTCATGTGCCATCCTTTCTGAACAACCCTTGAGAAGTACATTAAGTTCATGTCTTGGTCAGCCTTAAAGCTCTCTAAGTACTTTAGTGTTAGGAATTTAGCTATGAAAGCCCCAATCTTCCACTCCTTGCTGCATGTGTGCTCATCAACATACCTTTTTTACCATGAATGTCGTAGTCCTATTTTCATATGATGCGCACAAGTACCAAGCGTAGTCCTCATCACACTTTGCTTTGACTCTCTTCCTGTCATTGCCATGCATCTTGATATCAACTCTGTTCTGACAGGAGTTCTCTTTAATTATTGCCCTCGGTAGTTCTACACTCTCCAAAGACCTAGCCAACATGCAACTTTGGCCTATGAAGATCATCTGCTCAGAAAATTTTGAACTTTAACTAGAGATCTTCATCATCCGAATCAGGTACCCACAAATCTTCACCCTTACACTAGTCTTCACCAGAGTTGTATTTTCATTTGTCTTTGTCTTGAGCTTTAGGCTATAGTTTCTCTTTTCCTTTCTTCTATGCTTCTCATTTGATTTCTTCTCTTGTTTCTATTCCGTGTCATCCTCATCTACATTATCTGCATATAGATCATCATCACCATCTCCTATCTCATTGTCACTATCCACAAGTACTCGAGGGTCATAATCCTCATCATCTGCATCACTTGCTACATCATTTGCTTCCACTACATAACTGAATTTGTTTTCCCTAGCACTCCTCCACGTTGATGTGCTTCATCCAACATCCTATTCTTTCATTTTTTTATCCATGTGTTGACTGGGGTGCACTAAAACTGGTTCTTCTTCCTCCTCCGTTGGATTACCCACATCTAGTTGTGTTGGTGCCCTCCTCACAAACAAAAACTGGTTGACATCATCATCTGTATCAAGATCAGGATAGATAACTTGTATAGCATTAGGTGAAACAATATCTTCCTGTCCTTCTCCATGCTCTACTTCTGCCTGAACTTCTGCATTCTCTGCATTGTTGTGCACTCTCCTTGGTGGGATGAAAACGAGAGGCGGAGTTGCTCTTGGATAGTTCACAACATCATCCCCACTTAGGTTATCCTGGAAGCTATCATCAAGATCCAAATAAATGCTAAAAGAGTAGTGGCCAATATCAAAAAACACCATCATTCTGTCTATCTTCTCATTAGTACTAATTTCCATGAGACCATTTGTGTTGAGTGTAAGGATGGGGACACAGTAGATAACCTTGAGCCCCCTTTCCTCAACAAGATTTTCTATCATAATAGGGGACAACGTGACCTTTTCCACATGATCATACCAAATGACATGTCCATTAACATAAGAACGGTTCGGATTGCTTGTATCTGTGTTGGTAATTCCCCGAAGAGGAGAGGATAATGCAGCACAACGACGATAAGTATTCCCCTCAGTTATGAAATCAAGGTTATCAATCCAGTAGGAGAACCAAGCAACACTATGTAAACAACACCTGCACACAAACCACAAACCCAACGTGTAAGAGGGATTGTCAATCCCTCCTTATTATTGAGATAGATTAAATTGTATGAGATTGGATAAATAGATCTATCAAAAACACAAAATAAAATAAGTAAAGAAAAAGTGCAGCAAGGTATTTTTGGATTTTTGGATAAATAGATCTGAAAATAATATGATAGAAAATAGAACTGGGGGCCGTAGATTTCACTAGAGGCTTCTCTCAAGAAAATAGCATACGGTGGGTAAAAAATTACTGTTGGGCAATTGATAGAAGAGCAAATAAGTATGATGATATCCAAGGCAATGCTCATGTATATAGGCATCACGTCCAAGATTAGTAGACCGACTCCTGCCTGCATCTACTACTATTACTCCACACATCAAACGCTATCCAGCATGCATCTAGTGTATTAAGTTCATGAAAAAAAGGAGTAATGCAATAAGAACGATGCCATGATGTAGACAAGATCTATTCATGTAGGAATAAACCCCATCTTTTTATCCTTAATGCCAATGATACATGCGTGTCATTTCTCGTTCTTTCACTGAGATTGAGCACTGCAAGATCGAACCCGTCACAAAGCACCTCTTCCCATGGCAAGAAAAAT